CCACCTCCCCCAGCCCTCTCCTGCCCCGTGGGCACCCAGCCCCAGCTCTGCAGCCCCCTCTGCTCCCAGAGCTGCACCAGCCTCTCCTCCCCCCCCCAATGCAGCACCCACTGCTTCGAGGGCTGCGCCTGCCCAGCAGGAGAGCTGCTCAACGGGGACGAATGCGTCACCCCCGACGCCTGCGGCTGCCTGCACCGCGGGCGCCTCTTCCAGGTGAGCACCAACCCTTTGCACGCTGCATTTCCTCCCTTTCTGCCCCCTTTGCAGAGCACCAACCCCTTGCACTTTGCATTTCTTTCCACTATTATCACCCTTGCAATACAGCAACCCATTGCACTTTGCGTTTTCTTCCACTTTTGCCCCCTTTGCAGAGCACCAACCCCTTGCACTTCCCATTTCCTTCCACTATTATCACCCTTGCAATACAGCAACCCATTGCACTTGGCGTTTTCTTCCACTTTTGCCCCCTTTGCAGAGCACCAACCCCTTGCACTTCCCATTTCCTTCCACTTTTGCAACCTATGCAAGGCAGCAACCCCTTGCACTTTGCGTTTTCTTCCACTTTTGCCCCCTTTGCAGAGCACCAACCCCTTGCACTTCCCATTTCCTTCCACTATTATCACCCTTGCAATACAGCAACCCACTGCACTTCCCATTTCCTCCCTTTCTGCCCCCTTTGCTGAGCACCAACCCCTTGCACTTCCCATTTCCTTCTGCTTTCGCATCCTTTGCAATACAGCAACTCCTTGCACTCTGCATTCCCTTCCTTTCTTCCCCCTTTGCAGAGCACCAACCCCTTGCACTCTGCATTTCCTCCCTTTCTGCCCCCTTTGCAGAGCACCAACCCCTTGCACTCTGCATTTCCTCCCTTTCTGCCCCCTTTGCAGAGCACCAACCCACTGCACTTCCCATTCCCTTCCACTTTCGCATCCTTTGCAATACAGCAACCCCTTTGCACTTTGATTCCCTCCCACCCTGATCCCCCCCTGTCTCTCTGCCCCTCTTTGCAGATCGCTGACACCGTCCTCTCGGCCGACTGCAGCCAGACCTGCACATGCCGTTCTGCAGGGGGCATGGAATGCAAACCAACCGGTTGCCCATTCGGCCAAGTTTGCACCACGGAAGACGGCGTCCGTGTGTGCAAAGAGGAACCCGGGCGTTGCACCTTGGTCCCTTCCTCACGTTTCCTGTCCTTCGATGGCAACCAAGGGGCCACCGCGGCCGTCGGGATCTACGTGGTGGCTTCTCTTTGTCACCACGGTCACCCGCATTGGTTTCGGTTGCTGGCTGACGTGGCGGAGGATGAGGACAGAGCAGTGGTGGCGGCGTTGCATCTCTACAGCCGTGCTGCTTTCGTCACCGTCCGGAGGGATAAGAAAGTTTGGGTAGGTGGTCTTCCGTGCTTTGGTCGCAGCTGAAATCGGTGGGGTTTGGAGGCAAATGGGTTGGAAGGAGCCTCCATGAGCTGCCCACCAACCCATGAGGTCTTCATCCCTCATCCCACCCCTTCATTTTAACCAGAATTCCCTTCTTCCCACCCATTTCATGGAGAAGAAGCACCCATGGGTGACGTCCATCACCCCACCATCATCACAAGTTGCCCTCATGTTGGCTTTTCCCCCTATTTAACCCCAAATCTCCCTTTTTTGCCCCCATTTATTGCAAGAGAAGGGCCTCTGTGTGCCACCCACCAACCCATGAGGTCTTCACCCCTCATCCCATCCCTTCATTTTAACCAGAATTCCCTTCTTCCCACCCATTTCTTGGAGAAGAAGCACCCATGGGTGACGTCCTTCACCCCACCATCATCACAAGTTGCCCTCATGTTGAGTTTTCCCTCTATTTTAACTGAAACCCCCCTTTTTTGCCCCAATTTATTGCAAGGGAAGGGCCTCCATGTGCCACCCACCAACCCAGCA